CGGGTGTCCTGGGCCAGCCCCCCCCCCTGGGGGGGGGGGGGGGCTGGGGGGGCCCCGCCAACATTCCCACGCTACGTCCTGGACATCGCAGGATCGCCGCCGAGGTGGTTCCTACGGCCGGTGAGCAGTAGGTCTCCACTGAGCGCCTGGCCAGAGGAGAGCGCCCTATCCAGGGCCCCCGTGATGATAGTCCATTGTTAAGCCAATGTGACGACCAGAGCCGCATTGGCCATAAATCTATCCATCCTCGTCAAGACATCCTGTCCCGCGTCGGAGACAGGATGAAGGAGAGGTCTGGTCCGGGTCCTCTGATAACGCGCCCAGTTTACCGGTCCGCGGGGCTGCTGGCTGTTGTTGCTCCGTTCGGGATTACATTTTCCTTCTCCTCTTCTATTTTTCAAAAGCTCCTGCACTTTCCAGAAACTTTCACCTCCGTGTTACCATCGCTAACTTGGCCGCGTCCTCATTTGCCGTGAGGTCAGCTACGTCCCACTGCCTTGATTCATTTACGGAGCGCTCATGTGGCTAGCCACGGCACGTTCAAGGCCCACTCGTGATTATATTACTTTTTATAAATACAATTACATTCGAATTATTATATATCTATAGATATATACAACAGATTTTACTGTATTTTACTATATATTTTTTTATAATTAACCATTTCATTGTGTGTATTATAATATATATATATATATATTTTTTTCAGACCAATTTCATTTGACGGAAATCCGTCACTTAGACGGAACTCTTTAAAGGACAACTCACCCTCAAATCCACTTTTTTTTGCTGATAAACGGTATAAATGAGTGTCCAATAGTGTTGTCTACATATCCTGGTCATAATCTTGTCACTTTGGTGCAAATTAGTTGAAAGTTAGACTTTCTGCCTAAAACCGTCTGTGAGGCGCCATCTGCTGGCGACCTGTATTACTACATTTACTTACTTACTTACTACTTACTTACTTACAATTGAATTTTGAATCTGGCGCCAACACTGGCACAGAAGTTGGACCTGACGTCTGCAAGTTGGACCTGACGTCAGCAGCCCCCCGCCCAGAGCAATGTAAACGGCCCAGTCTCGTTCACGCCCCCTTTAGTCCTCCAGGCTACGCCCATTTAGAGGAAGATTTGAACAGGAAATGTGAGTGACGTAAGCTCCGAGGAGCGGGGGTGAGAACCACTTTAATCCCTGCAATATTTACATTTCAACATTTACATATTAAAAGCCACATTCACCTCATCACCTCCTTGTGACCTCTGCTATAGAGATAAGAAACCCAAAACCAAATATCTTTTGAATCTGAGAAAAAACAAAATCATAAAAACAAAATAAAATTCACAAATACGCCAAGCTAAAATACATCTGAGGTCTAGGACTTTTCCAACAAAATCTTTCCAATTAAACAGATTCTATGCTACTGGGCTTCTGGCTTTGAACCTTTTCAATCAAAATCAGCTGAATGTTATTTCTGAAAATTGGCAGCGGTATATGTCTGAGACATGTTCGTGAATGTGTGCTGTAAGCTGTGCGAAAACGACTCAAACACGAACCAATCAAAGCGGTAGAAAATTGAGAAGCCGTGTCCACTTTGAAAATATATAAATGTACAAGGACAAAAATGAGGCCGGTCTGCAAATTGAACAGGACTCCTGACTCTGCAATGCCCTGCTCTTTATGTGTCTGTTTTCAGCTGACGAAGCACAGGCGGCTGCTTAAATACCATCTCATATCATTATCACTGAGGCCAAAGACGCTCCACAATAAAACATGCCACATTGAGTTATCCCACCTTTTGATATTTACGCACACAGCCATTACTTTGGGTGTTAATTAGTGGTGACAGGGACGAATACAGGAGCAGGGAAAAGAGTTGTGAAGCTTTGTGTAACTAATTAGTCTTTGATTAAATCATCTTCTATAAAAAAGGCAAGAATGAGAGTGAGTCAAGTTGGTGTGCACATTTTAGAGAGAATATTTTCTTAAAAACAGCATTATCTTCATCAACTTAAAAAAAACAATAGCATCAAATACATATAAGCAAAGCTGCAGAAAAATGTGATTAGAATGTTTAGTGATTTCTTTCAGTGATTAGACATTACTATCACATTAAATCATTTGCACAATGTCTTTGGTTGGGCTATGTGGTAAAAACGTTTCACGCCAACCAAACTGTTTAAGAAAAAATCTCAATATTCCATCTCGACACATCAGAAATCAGATCAGTGTATAGTGCCTTTTCTGAAAACACCAGAAATACTGCAGAGGCCACGAGAAGCAGATTATACATGACCCTGACCACAATTTCACCATTTTGACGTTTCCCACTCATTAAAAGTGTTCTAAAGTAGTGAGACAGGTAATGTAAGAAATGTAGTTTATTGCCCAGCCCAATTACTGATGCAATGCTTTCACTTCCTGTGTTCTACTCAGAAAAGAGCAGAGGGCACACCCTGGACCTGCTTATCACGAAAGGGGTGAATATTTCAAAAGTTAATGTAGTTGATGTTGCTCTGTCGGATCATTTCTGTGTATTTTTTAACATGTGTTTTGCTACCAGACCACCCGCTAAATATGAAATTGTTAGAAGTAGACACTTAAATGAAAACACGGGTGAACTATTTATGGGAATGATCCATTTTGAGAACACATCATGTTCTACTGTAGAAGAACTGTTTAACTCTGTCACCTCTAGTGTGTTGAATGTTCTGGACGCCATTGCCCCTGTGAAGGTAAAAATGGTCACAAATAAGCAAAAAGCCCCATGGATAAAAGCAGGCCCGGTCAGGGCACAGAAGCAAGAGTGCCGGAGAGCAGAGAGAAAGTGGAGAAAGTCCAACCTCCAGGGTGATTATAAACTCTTAAAAGAGAAGTTGTGTGAGTTTAACAGAGTACTACGTAGAACAAGAGAATTATACTTTTCTGAAACTATTGAAGGCTGCAGCAACAATCTGCGTGTTCTATTTTCAACAATCAATAGATTAACGAACCCCCCTGTTGAGTTGCCATTAGAACACTACTCCAAATCCAGGTGTAATGAGTTTGCACAGTTCTTCAGAGACAAGGTTCAGGGTATCAGAAATGCCATCACCTCTACAACACAAGTAACAATGCAACATCCAGTGAGGCTTTGTGAGCTAGCTCAATTTGCACCTGTCAATGATGAAACTGTTAAAAAGATAATCACAGGTCTTAGTTCCTCTACCTGCAGTCTGGATGTACTACCTCCTAGATTTCTGAAGTCTGTTATGTGTAGTCTATTACCCTCATTGACACAAATAGTAAACATGTCTTTTTTATCTGGAACATTTCCAATGGCCCTGAAAAAGGCAGTCATCAGGCCCCTCCTAAAAAAGAGCAGTTTGGATGCTGCGGTACTTGAAAATTACCGTCCCATCTCAAATCTGCCTTTCATGGGAAAAATTCTTGAAAAAGTTGCCTACCAACAACTTACTGAATTTTTAATATCTAATGACTCATTTGACATGTTCCAGTCTGGCTTTAGACCACACTGAGACCGCTCTAGTCAAGGTAACAAATGATATTCGGCTTAACACTGATGCAGGAAAAGTCTCTGTTTTAGTCATGTTAGATCTGAGTGCCGCTTTCGACACCGTTGACCATGAGATTCTCATGCAGAGACTGGAGGACTGGGTTGGTGTTGCTGGTACCGCCCTAAGCTGGTTTAGGTCCTATCTAGAAGAAAGGAAGTATTGTGTGGAGATTGGAGACTATGTCTCAGATAATATGGCCCTGACCTGCGGAGTGCCACAGGGGTCGATTCTGGGACCTCTCCTGTTCAATATTTACATGCTGCCATTAGGTCAGTTAATTCCTACCACAATTACGCTGATGACACTCAGATCTATGTCTCACTGACTGCAGGAGAACATGGACCAGTGGACTCACTCCTTCACTGTATCCAGCGGATCAGTGAGTGGATGCAATACAATTGTCTCCAGCTAAATGCAGACAAAACCGAAATAATTGTCTTTGGTCCCGAGAAACAAAGAGAAACCGTCATTTATCACCTTCAGTCTCTCTCCCTAAGGCCTTTAAATAAGGTCAGAAATCTGGGAGTAATAATGGACTCTGACTTAAACTTCAATAGCCACATTGGATCGGTAACATCAGCAGCTTTTTATCATCTGAAAAATATTGCCAAAATTAAAAATATTGTGTCCAAAGCAGACTTGGAGATTCTTATCCATTCTTTTGTTTCCAGTAGGCTGGATTACTGCAATGGCCTGCTCACAGGTATCTCCAAACATGCAGTAAAACAGCTGCAGTACATTCAAAATGCTGCAGCCCGAGTCCTGACTAGAACCAGGAAGTACGACCACATTAGTCCGGTCCTCAGGTCTCTGCACTGGCTTCCCGTGGCCCAGAGGATAGACTTTAAAGCAGCTCTCCTGGTGTACAAGTCTCTCCATGGCCTTGCACCAAAGTACATCCATGATATGCTAGTCCCATATGAACCAGCCCGGACTCTGAGGAGCGCAGGGACGGGACTCCTGTTAGTGCCCAGAGTCAGGACTAGACAGGGGGAGGCTGCTTTTCAGATTTATGCAGCTTAAGTCTCGAACAGTCTTCCTGAGGATGTGAGACTGGCTGCCTCTCTGTCAATGTTCAAATCCATGTTAAAGACTTTTCTTTTTTCCTGTGCATACAACTAAAGAATTTTATCTTTTTAACACACCTTGTTATTTATTGTTGTAACTTTTTGTGTTTTAAACTATTTTATTGTTTTTAAATTACTTATGTGATTTTAATGCTTTTTAATTACATATGTGTTTTTAATTGTATTTTAATGGTGATGATTTGTGCATTGTGTGGTGTGGACTGTGAGGCGCTTTGTGTTGCCCTGTGCAGGAAAAGCGCCCTATAAATAAAGATTGATTGATTGATTGAAAAGATAAACGTGCCCTGCCTCTCACAATGTCAAACTGGATGAGGATAAAAGCAGAGGACCATAGACTAATGTTTACTGCAAGGGGACCATGCTGATTGTCCACCACTGGAAGAAGTTCACAGCCCGCACATGGTCCAAGGCAGGGGTCTCTGTGTGGAACGATGTGAAAGACTTGCAGCTGCAGGATTTAGAAGTAAAAAACACTACACCATGTTTTTTCCCCCATTTCCAACATGCTGGTTGGGCTCATCTTCACCCCACACCACACCACACCAGTTATGTCCAATATTACCAGTTGCTTTTATCTCTCCTCAAAATCAAGTCACAAATTCCACTCACGCACACACACACTCCTCTCTACAGACTTCATTAAACATTCACAGGGACCACTTGTAGCTTGAGCCCTGCCTTTGCGACACCACATCGTACATTAACGCTTGAGAAAAAGAATCACAAAATGAATAAACCTCATGCGAGCAATATTTTACGAGAACCCACTCGTGCGCGGCGCAGATAAAGCTCAGCGTGGCCGATAGCGCTGAAGGCTAGCCCCGATACGGCCGCATACGTTCACTGGGGCTTGTTTACTGGTGGCAGCTCTAGATAAGTCACATCTTTTTTTATCTCGTCCCGCGTTATCCAAGATTAAAGCTCAAATCCATTTTTTTTATACGGGGCAAAAAAAAAAACTGGAACTAACTAGGAGACATCTGTTCAGTTGTGCGAGCCGATGTCCGAGGCGGCGAAAGACACGGGGGCGCTGAATTATATCGTACTTCAAGCAGAGGGCGAAATTTCACATAAATTAATATCAATGGGGTCTTTCATCTGGAGCTGGCAGCACGAAGGGGAAAGCATCCTGTCCTATTAGAATACTTCCCTTTTTCAGTGCCTGAGAAATGAGGAAGAAGGAACATGAAGTTGTATGAGCTGGTGAGCGGGGATTTAGTTAATTTTTTTCAAATTGATCTAGACTCTTGTGGGGACAAACGTGTGGCGTCTGAAGTGAATACATTGAAAGGGGAAACAAAAGCAAGAAAGCTTCAATGAGAAATGAATGGGAGCAAATGGTGTTCCCTCTTTCTTCTCTGACAAAAAAACTATGCAATAAAATCCATGAGGTGGTTTTTTTCTCTCTCAAAACAGTTTGGTTCTATCAGTTCTTACATTGAATTTTCTCCTCAGCCACAGCTTTAGAATCAATCATACCGCTCAATACTTCTGACGTACAGAGGAAGCCATTACCGTTTGTTTCAGAATATAAGTCGCAGTTTGTGTCATAGTTTGGCCGAGGGTGAGACTTATACCCTGCAGACTTCTGTGTGACAACACTACATTTTCACACATAAGTGAAAAGTTTAATTTTATATTTTATGTACTGTAAAATATTTTTCAGTGTTGTATTTGTATAAAAAATGTATTTCGGTCATCAGAACCCATAAGAATGTAAATCATTTTAAAGCTTATGTTCTCATCTACATTTATATACAAGTGTACCAGGCGTCACACAAAAAAGATATAAAACAAAAAATGGCAACATCTCAATAGTCAAGAAATGTCTATTATTGTTAAATAAAATTCCCCAAAAATTGCGACTTATATACTCTTGTGCGACTTTCCTTCTTTATTATTCCTTTTTGCCTGTTGCGGCTCCGAAGTGACTTATAATCCAAAATATACAGTATTTTTTGAATGGACAAACTGACAAACAATTCAGAAAAAACTACAACTAAAAGTCAGTCCAAGCCTTAACATCATTCTTCCTTTAACTACAAATAAACTTGGGGCTATTTTGGGCAAGGTCGCGGATGTAAAGCAGCACAAGTCTTACAGAGCTGGCTTTTGGAGAGGTCCAGCTGTAAAGGAGCCTCTCGTCGGCCTCAGTCGGTCCAATCACCCTCACAGCACCTGGGACAAGGACCGCAGCTCATCAAGCCCATACGGAGCTGGACACGTGAGCAAAGAGCAGTTCAAACGCTGCTCAAAGTTTCCACCAGAGAATATGGACTACTGAAGGATTAAAATTACACGCTTTCTTAACATTTCTCAGCAAGAAAACCTACAGGCCGGAAAAACGGATCATTTCCCTGACTGATTATTCTATTTTTTGGACGCAGGACCTTCGTCACGCTAGTTTTAATTTGTATTCAAAAATTTTCATCCCAAATCCATTTCACTGGCCACAAAATTGCCGATATCCTAAACAGCCAAAACCTGTTTGTTAGACTTTTTGCTCCATTTCAGTGACGCCACTATGAACAAATTAGTTATGTATCGTGTGTATTTAAGGCTTGGCATTGCTTCTTTACAGCAAAAGAAACACAATCATATCCTGGTATGTGATTTAAAAGAATGACTTTTTAGGCAGAAAGAGTGATTTTTATATACTAAGCGAAGGGATGATATACTAAGAATATGGACAGGTAAATACATTGATAATACTTGTCAATTGTCTATCATAATACTAATATTTATTTCAATTGGCCTGATTTTTATTCTCTACAGCCCTGTTAAAGAGTCTGATGATACAATTAGAATTACTGCATGCCTATTTCGTACTGATAACTTCAAACACATGAACTAATTCACTGTAATTGCAAAGGTGTCAATCTCACCGAGGTTTCTCACTTTTTCCCACTGGGTTTTATTGAGTTGTTCCTTACTGATGCAGAAGGGACTGTTGGACAGTTAAGTGTCTAACAAGAAGGACTGTGGTGATGATCCAGGACACTTAACATTCTACAACATGTTTGACATTTAATGGACTTCAATCTCTTCCTATGGTCCAATACACGAACCATAGGACCATAATACAGTATGTTCTATATTTTTTGTGTCTTAATCGTTTAATTCTTTGATCTGTGTTGGCAATTTCATCCTCTGAGATGAAAACCTTTGTTAGATTTGAATGGGGCGACAGTGGCTCAGTGGGTAGAGTATTGGCCTTTAAGCCTGAAGGTTGTGGGTTTGAGCCCACCCCAAAGCTTTCTCCACCGACTCCCACTGATGTCTGCAATCGTGTCCTTAGGCAAGATACTTCACCCACATTGCTTAGAATGAGTCTGGTGTGTCTGTGAGTGGTTGGTGGTGGTGGGAGGGGCCGATGGAGCATACTGGTTGAATAATGACATGTGAAGTGACTTTGAGTGTCCTGAAAAGCACTAGATAAAACCAATGCATTAATATTATCATTATTAATGACCATAATTGTTATAACAAAATCATGAAACAATCAACAACGATGAACACAGAACAAAATAAACAAAACAAAGTCCCTAAACGTTAAGTCCTCACACACACAGGTCTTCACACAAACAGGTCCTCACATGGTGGCGAAAAAGTGGAATAGTTGGTCCGGCAGCCTGTGTGGCGACTCAGGCCTCAAGGGCTCAGGCTCTGGGCTCAAGGATTCAAAGTCAGACGACTCAGGGCTGTCGTCATACACGGGCTCAGGTCCCTCTGACTCCGAGCTGGAGGACACCACAGGCCTGGTGAACCTCTCTGGCCTTGTGTTTGAGGCCAGACTGAGGGCCTTCAGCCGCAGCACCCTGTCTTCAAACTGCCTTTCCCGGCTGGGAAGGGCAACATAGAACTTTGCGGCTGTGGCCGGGTCATGGCACATGGCCCTGGCCACCCTCCGCCGCTCCTTCTTGGAGAGCTGGTTATTGGCCATACAAACAGAACACATGAATAAACATCAAAAAACAGAATTCAACTCTGCAGTCAAATTCCCGCATGAATCAAGATATTACCTGTGTGGCCACGCTGCTCCGGATCTTATTTAAGGTGACGGTACCCTTCAGTCCGGCTGCTGCCCATGCTTGGGCGATGAATGAGGATGGCTGCTTTAGCTGGGCCCCAGCTTGGGTGTGGAACACCCATGTGGCCCCTTCGCACTCATCGCCACAGAAGGAACCAGTAGCCAGGAGGCGGAGCCAGTCGAACTCCTGGCTGTCCAGGACGATGGCAGCCTGCCCGAAAGACTTGGTAGTCTTATGGTCGCCCACCTTGGGGGAAGCAAAGACAAAAATCTGTTGGGAGACCTGTGTGTGAGGACCCGTGTGCTTATGAGGAGCCGTGTGTTTATGAGGACCCGCGTTTAGGAGGACCCGCATTTATGAGGACCCGCGTTTATGAGGACCTTAACACAATCATATCTAATCTAATATAGATCTAATATAATTCACAACCTTTCTAATTACTTTCTGAATGGTACATAAAGAGTTAATAGAATACTATATGACTGACCAACACTTGGAACCTTGTCCCGGAATTCCAGGAGTCTGCATTTGCCACCGACTCCTTGGTTAAGTTTGTGAAAACCACCGAGCGGTGACCCGTCAGGATGGCCATGTAGCACAGAATGAAGCTCATTCCGAGGGCATGGACCTCCTGTGGATCACAAATGTACTCATGTACTTACCGAGAATTTCGCCAATGGCGGTTATGGCCCTGGCCAAAAACTGGTCGGCTGTGAAAAGAATGGAACTGGAGAAACACTAGTGAAAACCACATTCCTATTTGGACCTGTTGTGACATTTCACCATTCTGGACTGGTCAATAATTTAGTACTAGTAGTAGTAGTAGAAGTGGTATCAGTAGTAGCAGTAGTAGTAGTAGTAGTAGTAGTAGTAGTAGTAGTAGTAGTAGTAGTAGTAGTAGCAGTAGTAGCAGTGGTGTTACCCATATAAGACAGAAAAAGCTTTACCTCACTTCTTCTGGAGGACCTTCTGCCGCTGGACAACCACCTCCCGCTGGACGTCCCTCTGGATCTGCTGAAGCTCGTACCCTATATTACGAGCTTCAGCGGCTCTCATGAGGGTCTTGCGCGGGAAGCGCTTGCCCACGTGGCGGACAAACATGATTACGTTTGTCAACATGTTTTTCACGGTGGTACCCCTTGGTAGCCAGGTGCGTTGGCCAACTGTGGAAAAAAACATACAGGTTAACACATATAAATATTCAAGATTTTATTTATTAGACAGATGACCACTGAAGAACCAAATAGATGTAAATGTGGAAGGTAGGGCTGGGATAAACGATTATTTTTTAAACGATTAATCTAGCGATTATTTTTTCGATGCATCGATTAATCTAACGATTATTTTTTTCGCTTCGATTCGATTTCGATTCGATTCGATTCTCGATTATCTCCCCATTAATTGACTAATATTGATGTATACATGTTGATTTAAATATTTTAATGAAAAAAACATGAATTCCTTCACAAAAAATATTTATTACTTGCTCTTAAAATAAAAAAAAAAGACATTCTTAGAGGTAGCATAAAACCTTAAAGCCTTGAAAACACAGCTTACTGAAAAAAGTGCATCTTATAATTCTTGAAACAAACATTTGATGCTTAGCATTCAATAAAAACATGAAAAAGTTCAGCCCAATACTTGTGTAGAGCAACTAAAAGAAAACAGTAACCAATGTAAACTTGAAGGCTTTAAGCTAAACAAAGAGTGCTTTTCCAGCAAAAACAGTGGGAGCCATCAGCCTGTCATGGCGTCCTTCCTGAACCAACAGAGTTTAACATTTAAGTTGAAGACACATAGGCCTATATTACTGAAGTCCATTAATTAAAGTGCATCTCTTAAATTCTTCATTCATATAAAAATAACAGTCAAAACTCTGCCACTCACCTTTTTCTTAAACTCAAAATTCAAAAATAAAATTCAAGTAAGAGTGTACAAGAGAAAAACAATGCATTGTGTAGCAAATAAAAAGGTCAACCAGTCATCCTTTCTTTTAGAGTTACTGAAAGAATACAGTAGAAGTCATCTCAGAGGACTTAAAACAACATTGAAGTCACCAACACAGATCAGAGAATCAATCAACAGTTAAACACATTAAGGATATTGAACACATGTTGAAAAATGTCCATATACGGCGGGCATGACAGTGAATAATACATGTAGGGGCTATTACGGGCGCCAATATTCCGTTTGATACAAAGAAAGACAGACTAGTTGTAAGCTGTAGAGTTGGCACAGGACGCGTCATCAGCCTACGTCATCAGCCTACGTCAGCAGCCGCGGACTGCTATGAAAACATTAGCTTTGTGGTTTCACAGGCGCAGTTGACTGCTTAAACTAAACTTTGCACGAAACTTTGACTCTTAAAACCCACATGTGACAAAACGGAACCATCAACATCTCGCCTCAAATTGCATTAAAAGTGACATTCGTGTCTGAATTCGTTCGTATTTTAACTTTTAAAGCAATTCACGGTCCGCCATCTTGGTATGCTTCGGCTGCCGTGAGACGCGCATGCGCAGGTTTGCATTACATGATAAACAGCTGAGGCTGTGCATCTCTTCAAGGCAGTGTATCTCAGCGTTACACCGGCTTGCACTTCTCTAACACGGCACTCGCATTGCTACCGCTCGCCGCCATCTTTGTTTTGTGTGCGACGCACCGACGCGCATATTATACGTCGGTGTATTTTTTGCGTTGACGTCACCGATTACGTTGACGCGTTGTCCCAGCCCTAGTGGAAGGTCTTCCAAATTTCAATCTATCACCATTCACTTTCACAAGAAAACCCTAACTAAATGGCAAATTTTCTTGGACCAATATTAGGGATATCAAACAAGATGCAGAGTTACCTAATTCTTCATCCAAAGATTAGACTAATACTCACCCACGCAGACGGTCCATGCGATTTAGGAACCGGAGGCTCCCACTCAGGTTGGCCGCCGCCACACCATGGGCCATGTAGCGGCAAAACCGCAGGGAGTGGCTGGCCGACTGCTTAGCGTTGTCCAGGTCTTTGAGCCTGGTGCACGACCCGAGCCGGAACTTCCGGTAGTCCTCTACCATCGACTCTGCAATAAAATGAACTTGACTTTTAGAAAAAAGGATGACAATATTTGAATATTTTTCTCCATGGTCCAGAACTATTAGTAACCAACTTACCATACAACATATCTGCGTTGTGGATCTTGTCCACGTGCTCCCCCTTTTGAGAAGAGGTGGGGACTTTCCCGCCGTTCCCACCCTCCAGGGACCGGCACTTTGCCTGGGGCAGGGCGTGCGACCGCTCCAAGGTGGTCAGGCAGGCCTCCAGCCTCTTATTCGGGCCTCAAACCCTAATCCAGATGGACCCGGTGCCTCCTGGTCCATCTGGGAAGTCCCAGGTTTCTCCGGGTCCATCTTGGAAGTCCCGAGTGGGAGTGGTGTCCCAGGCCCTGTATTAAAAATAATATACTCCATAATTCAAAATTTCAATCTATGCAATAACATTGTTAGGTGTTACTCAGTAGTAGTAGTAGTAGTAGTAGCACTAGTAGCAGTGGTGTTACCCATATAAGACAGGAGAAGCTTTACCTGTCTTCTTATGAGGACAGTATGAGGAGTAGTATTACCATCAAGAGCAATAAATACTCACCAGAGAGAGAAGGGCCGACGCTGGCCTGATCCTCCTCCTCCGTCCCCTCACCTCCCACCAGGGGCTCAGGATCTGATTCAATATATGAGGAATAATGTATATATGAAATGATAGATAATTCATTCCAAAGTTTATCTATGCAATAACATATGTAGGTTTAAAAAAAAAAAAAAACTGATTCACAATTTCCATCTACACAATGACATTGTTAGGTGTTACTCAGTAGTAATAGTAGTAGTAGTACTACTATCAAGAGCAATAAATACTCACCAGAGAGAGAAGGGCTGACGCCAGCCTGATCCTCCTCCTCCTCCTCCAGGGCCTCAGGACATTGATCTGATTCAACATGTGAGGAAAAATGGATATGACTGTGAATACACAATGACATTGTTAGGTGTTACTCAGTAGTAATAGTAGTAATAGTAGTAGTAGTACTACTATCAAAAGCAAACACTCACCAGCCTGATCCTCCTCGTCCATGTCCAGGAGAGGGTCGTCATTAGGTTCATCTGATTCAATAATGTAAATATATTTAAAAAAAGTGATTTCATTACAAATATTATCCATGAATTAACATAGGTGTTATCAATTTATATATTATTTATATATTTTCATATTTTCAGATATCAAACAACAGTTAAAAGTTCTGTTTTGGTTCTTACCAATGTCCAGTGTGGAGATCAGCGGCACCGAGGGGTCTGACAGCCTCAGTGCCCTCATCTCCTTGACGATGGCTGCCCTCTTGGCCTCTCTCAGGAGGGAAGCACGTTCCTACAAACAAAAACATATTTATTGGACACATATTGAAACATATGGATTTGATAAAAGCAATTTACATCGCCAGAGGACTTCATACGTTTGTCCTGGAGGTGTTTGTCCAGGCGCACCACACCCTTCTTGGTGCAGCAGGGGCAGTCCAACACAGCCGTGCTCCTATAGGAGAATGAAAATAAATCAACAACGTCACTCTGGTCTCATGGATCTATTACTGTGTTATTATACGGCTCCGCGCTGGTCTCTGCATGGTCTGGATCTATGCGGGTCCACGCTGGTCTTGTGTGTGTGTGTGTGTGTGTGTATTAACTCACCGTGCACTTCCATACTTTTGGAGGAGATGGAACTCCTTGTTCCTGACCTCGTGGACCAGGGTCAGGTGCTGCTTTAAGTTAACTGCCTGCAGATCCCGCACAGTTTGGGTGCCTTTTACATTTAATTATTATTATAATAAATAATAACGTTGCTGCATCCCGTGCGCAAAACACGTCAATCTCCGTGGTCAGCAGGTGTCCTTGCAGGTGCTAGCATCTGAGGAGCATCTCCGTGTCCGTGTAGCATCTGTAAGGCCTCCTGAACACGTCCCGGAGCCTGAACACAGAGCCGCTATGTGTTTTCCGAGTGCACAGACCCGATATCCTCTCCGCATTGTGTTTATCAATGTTTACAAATATATTTTGATTGTAATACAACTAATACGGTGTAATAAATGCATGTGACCACTCACCTCCATGATGAACCGCCAAAATGCCTAAACACGCCTGTTTCAACTCCGATGAATAACTGAGTTGAAAGGCGTTAACTGTACAAAAAGGATTTTTTAAAATTAATATTATATTATAAAAAACCTTCAACGAATAAATTGAACATGGACTTGACTTCTCCCACATTATAAACATGTATACGTCGTTTTTGAAGGCGCAAGCCCAGTTTAGTCTAAAATCATGATATCAAACTGATTGTTGCATCAAAAAAAAAAAAAAAATCCTGATCACACAACGTTATAATTACTGTAAGAACGTGTACGCACAAAGACAGAGAGCAGATTGCATGCCCACCTGGCACCACCTGAGGAAGCACTGTCCCTCGCCTCCGTCTGCTCCGTCTGATACCGGCTTACTCCCTGGCAACATCATCGTCTTCATCACCACCTCGTCCTCCTCCTCGGGCCTATAGAACTTGCAAACAAACAGCAGATTAGACCCGGCAGGCGCTGCACCATCGCAACAGGAACAAATTGGGACGTGAATGAAAGCAAAATCAATTATGCCCGAAGCTCTTATTAAGAATTAGCGAGTGGAGAGGGGCTTCCGGTGCTTTTGTGGCGGCGGATTGTGGCGGAGTGGCGTCCCGCGCAGAAGCACATTTGTTTGTCTCGCTATTGTGTCCCGCGCCCAAAGGGGAAGTGCTTTCAAATGAGTCCAAACAACAAGCCACTTTTTTTTCTCCAATTTGCACAGCTGGGTCCCCGGAGGATGGGCGACCGGAGATGGGAAGGCTGAGGGAGAAGTGCAAGAGACTACACGGTGTTACGGTAATGGTCAGGATAAAAAGCCAAATCATGTTCTGTAAATTGGTCGTGGATCAATGGGGTTCCCTCTTTCATCTCTGGCAAACACACACACAAAATTAGCTATGCAAAAGAATCCATCAAACTAGTTCTTCTCTCAAAACAGTTTGATTCTATCCTTGAAACGTGCAGGCAATTTTGGCCTCTGTCACATCTCTAGGCTATCTTTTTCAAGCAGAAAAGTGTAAAGAAGAGGACGACCCACTCTCAACCAATCAGCTCCCAGCACAAAGACTTCAAACAGTGACTCACATTTCTCTTGTTTGTAAAATATAAGATATTTTCTGATACAACAGCGACAATAAGACAGCAAGCCTGGAGCTCTTCTGGTCTGATTTGTTCCCAGCCTTTTACTCAGAAAAGACTATTCCATTGCGGGAAAGATTAACAATGAAAAAATATGGGTACCCAAGCCTTAAGCATGAACCTTTTTACGCCCAAATCCTTACACTGCAAAAAGTGAGAAAACCTTGATGTGAGCATATTCTGACTGCCTTGAAACTAGATTTTCCGATGGGACAAAGCTAAATGAAACAAAAGATACAAAAAATGTCTCTCTTGGAATGAAGTATTTTTTACCCTTTGGCAAATCTTGTTTTAAGACAGTCAGAATGTGCTCAAATACAGATAAAAACCACTTGATTCAAGCAATTACTACCTCATATTTTATCATTTTTTTGCTTTCTAATTTAATGGTACACACTAGTAAACCAGGCTGGTATGAGTCAGGCTTGTGGGAATGCAAGCCCAGCCATAGAATGTCAAACTAATTAAAAACATAACGATAAAGGTGAACGATAAAAATGAGTTGTTATGACTTAATGCATGCAAACGTTTTAATAATTTAACCATGAAGCTACAACACAGAATTTTGCAGTTCTGTTTTCACCTTTGATCCGACCATTTTTCTTATTTTCTCAGCCTTTTTTCTATTCTCATTCAAAACAAGTTAATTTTGGATTTCATTTAGCCTCCTGTGCCCCCTTTGTTGCACTGGCCCGCACAGTCAACCGAACGATCAAATGTCAGTCGTATGAAAACAAAATACTTACTTATTTGTAATATTTTGACAGTTAAGACAGCAGTATTTTAAGTTTATCAAAGAGAGAAAGGTAATTTAACAACAACAAAAAAGACTAAATAGAGGAAGCTCTAATGGGGCTCATGCATCAGCACCTCACACAGGACAATAATTAGTCTGGAAAACATGAAACATAAGGAAAAAAGAATTAGATATGCTTTGAAAGATGATGTTACTTTGAGGTTTGTGAGCTTATTTGGTCATTAGTTGTTATCAGCGAGTCCTCTGATCTTTATTTGCGAGCTAAAGCACAAACAGATAAAGTTGTGGCTTTAATGTGAATCAAAGGATTGCCTCAGAATATTGACAGCCCTTTAGTTATCAAGACAACTTTGAAGAGCACTATAGGGACAAGTCTGGCTTCTTTTCATTATGTATTCACTCAGAATACAATGTAAATTATGATTCTCACTGCCATAACAACTAGCTGTAGCCTGATTAGCTGTAGCCGGATTAGCCGTAGCCTCGCCAAAAACATACCTGGAATTATGTTTTAATCATCATATAGGGAAGGAAAATATTCTCAGATCTTCCCTCCCTGCTGCTGTCAGACTGTACAACAAATATTGAATTAAAGAATGCTGCCGACCTGACCTCACATGTCATGCAGCGGTGCAATATCTTGATGTGCAATATAGAACCATGTGTGTCACAGCTTTAGATAGATATACTTTATTGATCCCCTGTAGGAGAAATTCAGGTGTCCAGCAGCCAAAAACACACCCATTAAAACACATAAGTACATCAATTATAAACATTTCTAACCACCTCCTTAACAATAGTGCACATTTTTAACTCATCCAGGTTTGTTGTACAGTCTGACAGCTGAAGGAACAAAAGATCTCTTAAAAAGTTCCGTTCGGCAGCGCAGTGATATAAGTCTGTTACTTCGATTACTCCTCTGGGCGGCCACAGTGTCATACAGACGGTGTCTGGAGTTACCCAGGATGCCCTGTACTAGAGCCCTCATCCTTCTCTCCAGCACAGCTCCCACAGAGTCCACACTTCTCCCCATGACAGAGACACATTTCTTGATCAGCCCTTTGAGCCGGTTACTGTCTCTCAAGGTTTACTCATCTGTGCAATACTAACTTTAGTAATTCAATGTCAGAATGTGCAATACAGAACCTCATGTGTCACTGCTGCTTTACTAAGTCAATGTGTCCCAGAGCCATGTACAGATGTAAACAACTATATATTACCTGCACTACAATATACAAGACCCTATATTTGCTTCTCTCTATACCAAAAGTAGAGATTTTATACTTCATTATGCTAAAGTCAGATTTATACTTGATTTGAAAGATTTTATACCTATCATTGTACTTAATTTAGTATAAAGTTGTTCATTTATCTTGTTCTGTGTGCTCCTCATTCCCATTGTTCTGTAACTGGTGATGCAACACTGACATTGACCCACTGTGGGACCAATACAGGATCTCTAAATCTTAATTTTAATCTTAATGGTCCCATTTGCTTTGTATTTAAAATGATTCTTAAATACTGTCGTCAAAACAGGGAAAACAACACACAATATGTGTATGCTGTTACAAATATTATAATCCAGGAGGTGATTGACAAATCGAAACAGCGAATCACAGCGCACAGCCAGCTCCCAAGTCCAGAGTACGTCTGTGGTTTGGTCCCGCGGACACCAAAGTGACTAAAAGTGGAAAAAAAATATTTTTGGTGTAAATATGTGACGCACTATTTGGCCGAAGAGGAAGAATGCAGCTCAACTTTTCTCACGTGGATCTGCCTCTGTTTGAATGAATCTGTTCATCTGCGACACTTTACTGAGACTGTTCCAGAACTACAGGGACAAAGGAACTGGACTAACTCAAAAGCTGATCTAGAAAAAAGTGTTTTTCCCACAATAAAAGATGTAACACGGACCCCCGATCTGTAAAAGTTCATGTGACGTTACCTCTATGCAAGAGATGGCTCTAATCCAGGGGTTAAAGCAAAAAAAAAAGATTTGACTGAAAATTTTTGCATGGAAATTTATCACATGTAAATCACAGTAATATGCAGGACCAAGTTATATTTGTAATTACAATATATTATTGTATAATAGATTGTATATTGAATACAGCTCAAATGAATTCTTCAAAGATATACAGTGTATTTTGATATGAAATATAAGTGGATCAAGCAACGAGTAAACTTTTTGACAGAATATTAGTGAGAGTAGCTTTACTTGAGGCGATATGGAGCGTCAACACTTTGGCTCTGTCCTCGTCAAAATATTGCAAAAGTACGATCAAATTCTGTCCACATTTGTTTGTGGACACGTCAATATTTAAGAAAAAGGTTTCCCTATCAAGTTTGAGTGCACAGTGCACTTCGATCAACTGCAAATGATTTAAATAAATCTACCAGCGGTAGTGATATTCTGAACGTTATTTTCTGCGATAAAGCCACAGACACGGTCCGCCAGAGCAAGCCTAGTGTCAGTTGTTGCTGATGCACCAGGTAAAGATGAAGTGTGGGAAAGTGCACAAACAGCTGCCTTGTGCGCAGTTTTGAGCTGGTGGCGAATCAAAACTTTTTTCTCATTACTCCCATACAGGGCTGGACTGGGACAAAAAAACAGCCCGGGCATTTTTTCCTTCTTACCGGCCCAGGCATGTTTTTGTCACGTTTTTTACAGTTTGTTTATACCAGGGATCGGCAACTCAAAAGGTTCAAAGAGCCATATTTGACAAAAAATACTAAAAACATCTGTCCGGAGCCGCAAAAAAATAAGAGCCTTGTATAAAGCTTATATGAAGGTTACACAATGTAGCTACATTAGCTACATTAGCCTATTATCTAAATGACCAAGTAAAGGCTACAAATACATGATAAGCATTCATGATTGTCAAATGTGTGTTTTCACTGCAGCGTGTCCTGGAGAGAATGACGCACCACGCGATGACTCTGCTTTAACTTTGACTTCCATTTTTTTGCCTTCATGCAACTGTAGAAATACAGTAAATAAATCTGCTTTTTGGCTCAAAGGTCACACACCTGCACTGTCCGCTCATATCGATCACGTCACAGGCTGAAGTTAGCTGGAGCTGAATGTCCTTAATGGCCTTTTCTTTCACAGTCTTTGCGGAGGTTTTTGAAGTCTGAAAATAGGTGCTCTGGATTTTGTATGAAAGAATCCTTCACGTAATCCCTGTGAACGGTATTTAGTGCTTCATTGTTCCTCGTGTTGCAACAAAACTTCCTATTACATCGCAAACATGAAGCAGTCCTTCCTCATTGACTGAAAGCAAATGTTCAGTCTTGTTCTTAGTCCAGTCTTATTATCAACTCTTTCTCTTTTTATCTTTGGGATCCGTGCCACACGCCGGTTTGTTTACAGCAGCGGCCGTCTGCCGCGGGGCCGCGCCACAGGATATGACTCACTACGTTGACAGAAATTGAATATTACTTATACACATTTTTACAGTATTGAAATACGTTAAGAATGTTTTTCCTCCTAGAGAAACCACATTCAAACTAGGAATAAAATATAGCCCTCACACTCCATTTTCAGACATTTTTGAAAAGGCTCCAGGAGCCACTGGAGGAGCACTAAAGGTTGCCGACCCCTGGTTTATACAGTATGTGGAAGCATACTGTAGAGGATCAGGATGTCTGTAGTTTCAACAAAAAAATAAAGTGCAATAGTCTACATTAAACAGAGTAATAAACATGTCTCAGAGTGAGGGAGGTGGGCACAGACAACACTGTTGTTTGTTACAGGGATGAGAATTGGTCAAAAAAGACTGAAATGCATAATGTCAGCCATTGGCTGGCTCTAAATCTGTTTAATTTTTTCACAACATTTTACTTTTGGGCTCAAACATGAACTTTTAATGCAATGGAAAATTTAGGCACCCGAGCTTTAATTTAGTCGCACTTCGAGAGGAGAGGGGAGACGCGGACTGTTTTCTGCAGCGGTGTATTTATTGGGTGCACAAATTACGCAAAGACACGCATGGTCCTGTGCACGTTTATGGTCTTGGTACATGGTCACGTTGCGGCTACGCGCTCACCGTGTTGTGTTGTGAGCGGTTCCTGCGTCCAGCTCAGAGCCGCTGGATGCGGGAACACTGCGGCCGCTGAGGTGGTGGAATCCCGTTCCAGTACATACAGCAGGTGCCCCGCGGACACGCGCGCGCCCCTCGAACAGTTCTCAACGGATTTACACTTTTCACAAACATCTTTTTTGTATGAGGCAAACAGACCGGCCCAAATATGGGCATCGGCCCTTCTGGCATTGCCCGGTACGCCCGATGGCCAGTCCAGCCCTGCTCCCATATATGCAATTTTTTATGGCAAAGTACGCACAAGCACCGGCCACTCTCATCTTTTCGCACCATGACTCGTTGATTGGCTCTTTTACATCACGCTGAGTTTTGCAAGAAGATCGCAAACAAGACAATATCAAAAGCTCACAAGACATGTTTGTCCCCATTCCCAGTTGCAGCAAAGTCCGTTTTGTACATTCCGTTAAGTAAAATAGCATTGCGTTTGGTAAACGTTAATTACCTTTCGTCTATTACGCGCCCAGTTTACCAGTCCGCGGATCTGCTGCTGTTATTGCTCCGTTCAAGATTCAATTTTCCTCCTCTTCTCCTTTTCAAAAGCTCCGTGCAGTTTCCAGAAACTTTCACCTCCGTGTTACCAATGCTAACTTCATCGCAACTTCATCGCGTCTTCATTTGCGCGTGAGCTCAGCTACGTCCCATTGCCTTGATTCATTTGCGGAGCGCTCATGTGGCCACGGCACGTTCAAGGCCCACTCGTGATTATATTACTTATTATTTCTATATACATATAAATACAATTATATTCAAATTATTATTATACATCGATATATATATAACAGATTCACACGTATATGTATTACTATATATTATTTTTATAATCAATCATTTCATTGTGTGTATTATTATCATTATATATATATATATATATTTTTTTTCCAGACCAATTTCATTTGACGGAAATCCGTCACCTAGACGGAACTCTTTAATCCCTGCTCTAATCTCACAAGTTTTGAGCGTTGTGTGGTGTATCATGCAAATAATGATCACACATGTGCCTAGGATTGACTGTGAAACATGAAGAGAGCAATATGGAACCTTTTATTGTCGCCACACATTTGGGGAGAGGGCGAGTTACGACAAGCCCCTTATACCACCTTAAGAATAAATTATGTACTAGTTTAAAGTCAAATTTATCTTTCCAGTGCAGAAATAAATCATGTATTCCATTGAATTACAAAAAACGAATAGTTCAGTCCAGGTTTCTGTTTTAGACGATGGGGATATTATTTATATGCAGCTTCTTCCTCCGCTCTAAAATTGTTAGCTTCACCTTGCCTGCTTTATCACAGGGTTCAAAACTCATCACTCTAACTTTATGAGAACGTAGGTTTGCCTTCGCTATCTCTTAGAATAGAGCAACATTGTATCATATGTGTCTATAAAAGACTAATTGGAAAACTGCCTCTGAACAGCAGAGCACAGGACCTGTTGCTTTTAAAAACTGTTCAAGAACTGAACTCTGAAACGAAGGCTTTCGAATGTTTTGCATCCCCGAATTGGAATTATTTTCAAACTTTTGCCAACTTGGACAGTCTGGCTTTTTAATAATTTGGTTTTAGAACTTTATAAACATAATTGCATATTGTTCTCAGCCGCCTAATCCGTCTCTTACTATTGTACTTAGTTGCTTTGTCTTTTCATAAGGGATATAACTACAGCATATCTATTCAAAACACTGACATACGTTAAAAAGTAAAACAGGTATTCAAGATCATGCTTAAAGCAGGTGTACCTCACTTTCAAACTCCACAAAAATTGAAAAATTATTTCCTGGCTACAAAACAGTTTGGCTCTATCACTATTTTCAGTCACATTTGTAGATCAGCTTGTTCAGACCAAAAAGTGAAAAAGAGAGGACCATGCACCATCAATCAGCTCTCGGTCCAAATTATCAAACCGTGACTCACAGTATGCAATAGGCAGTGCTTTTAAGGCTGCGGTCACATGCACAGCCTAAAGCCCGGTTAAAGTGGGCCTGGGCCTGGTACCGGACCACACAAGGCATTGGCAATAGGGAAAATTGTTTCTTGTGTGTGTGGTCTGATTTGTTCACAAAATGTTACTGCAACAAAAGTCTTTCTGCTCGCGCGAACTAAGTATTCGTTAAGGAACAAGATGTGAGGGGCCCGACTAAAAGTGGCAGAATGAATCCAGATCATGTGCAGCAGTGAGTGGGTGCAGCGTTCCAGCACATATGTGCTCACATCACTAATGACGATCTCCTTGTGCTGCTGCTCTCCGCCCGGCTGAGGACTCGACCTCTACATCCGCTCGCAGCTGCTGTTCTACGCGCCAACTGCTCCGCGACATCATCCCACAGACCGCAACGAGCCCTCACCACCAGGGGGCAGCGGGCCGGAGAGAGGGGCAGCGATGAGAGGGTTTTTGGTGAGGGCCAGCAGCAGATGTGACGTGCTGACTGCTGGACTGTGGACATAGATGGACATTGGGTTTAGGGAAGGATCAGATGTGGGTTTGGAAGACGCCCGCAGGTTAGAGACAGTTCAAACTATTTAGAGAAGGGATTGTGTTGGTTGTTCTGGTAACTTTACAAAGCGGAAAACTCAGGGGCGTAAGAAGGCCCTGTACACGGCTTTGCCAAAGTTTAAAAAGGGAAAAACCTGTGGAAACTTTTATAACCATGCACATTGTACTTGCATAGACCAGTGTTTTCAGACTGTTCAATGAGCACTCCTGAGTCTGTACATGTGCTATTCACGTGTTTTGATAATCCACTAGTCACTTTACGAGTTTCTTAACCTGCCAAGATCATTACTACATTATTACATATTCCATTCTCTGCTGCTATACTACAATATAAACATCTGTAAATACCTCCTGCTGCTGCTGACTACACAAGTTACTTATCTTTGAACCAAGTGCTATTTATTTAACGATAGTTATTGTATTGTATTATTCTATTATCTTAAATAATAGATCTTGTTTGATTCTCCTTTTATTCTGCTGTTATGTTTGCAACACTGAGGATCGAAAAAAGATTTATCTTTTATTTACAGATGAGCAAGGTTCCGGTCGTGGACCATCGTCAGGCAAATGTTTTATTCCATTACGAGAAGCGTCTTAAAAAGGGAGGGGCTGGCAGAGGTTACTCACACATTTTATATTAGGCCCAGTTCACAAATCACAGTCAGACCAGAACAATAGGACATCACATATTCATAGACATAATAAATGGGTGTGTTCACAGTAAAGTGTCAGTTTAAGAATCTGGAGTCTAAAAGGTTATAACTCACATAATAAAATTACTATCATAGATAAGAATCAATATTTCAAACACAGACATATCAAAGAGATAGTGTGGATCAAATCCAAAGAAAAGATTGACAAATACATTTTTGGCTAAATGTGAAAAGACCAGATCAGCCCCTGATTTGATAATTCTACTGTGAATCAGTGACTTAATATAAATAAAAGGTGCTCAGAGATGAACATAAACACTACATCAGGAAATCACTTCATTTAGAAAGAAATCATCTTAGAAAAAGAATCAATAAAAATGTAAATGACCTTGTGTATGTCTAACAGATGTGATCACTTTGTTTCTACGCTTTGTAAAAAAAGAATGTATTAATCAAATGTGGACATATATGTAACAGACTTCAAAGAATCAGGTCCGTGACACAGAAACAGTTACCAAAGAAAACGTGACTGTGAATAAAACAATTCTAGTTCTACAAATGGACAGAAGAGGTATTTGGATACATGAAACATAATAATATCTGATTATTATAATATATTTGTTGGCCTTTTGTCACACTTTGTACCCTTTAGTGTGAACAAGCCCAAATATGTTCATGTGAATAATAAATGCGCAGAATACATGAGCTACAATATTGCAGATACACAATGGATAAAGCTTTAACAGTTCTCAAAGTCAATCTGTCAAACCACATACATTCATTTATAGAAAAACCACTTAGACATCAAGTTACAAGAACACTTTGAGCTCCAATTCATCATTGCGTCCCTTTGGCGCAGGAGTTTGTAAATTGTGTACGCCTCCTGTTTGAGACGCTTGTCATGGTCGTCTCCTCTAGGGGCCAGAGGGACCTGTTCAATGCCAATGAAGCACACTCACATCGTGGTGGACATTGAGGTCATCTGGTCTCCACGAGTTCTTTATTTCAAATGGTCTTGTTGTTTTGCTCATGTTTGCAAACCCAAAGTGTAGCAAATAAACAACACAAGTGGATGCACAGGTGAAGTTCTAAATAGGAATTGTCTTTCCTCTGTGCGGGAACTGAACAAAGCTGTTTTTGTGGGTATTAAGGTACTGCATATAGTTCCCACATCTGCAATTCTCATTTGGGATGGGTCTAAGAGGATGTAACTTTGGGAATCACAGGGTCCCGAAACAAATAGTCTCAAATAATTCTCTGTCTTGTTCACAAACAGAGTATTAAAGTTTGGGTTTGACGCCAGAATATGGTGGATATCATTACATAGTTAAATTATAAAAGACAGATACCCCTATACTCCTGTGGACTCAGTGAGGGGCTGGTGCTCTGTGGACTGGGTGCAGCTCTGACTGACACCCCCCCAACCCAGAAATGGATAAAGGGGACGAAGATGGATGGATGGATAGATACCCCTATACTATGCTATGTAATTAATCTAACAGCTGCTTCTTACAAAGTCGTAGCAAATGACCAATAAGACATTTCACCAAACAGTACGTTACAGAGTTAACAAGACCAAAAGTATGTTTATTGAGCCACTATTGTGTCCTCTACATTGTTCATTTATGTAGGAAAAATGCAAATAATTGATCTGTAGAGGCACATACTGGTCAGAATCAGCCGTATCTTTATTATTGACATTGTTTGCGGCATGATAGACAAACAAACTAATCAATAAAGATCATAAGTGTTCTTTAACTTTGCTGATTTTCTTCCCACAATTGGTGAGATAAAGAATTGTGTCTGTTTTAGTTTGCATAAAAGACCAGGGATTACATTAAAGATAGATATACTTAAACCATACTTTAACGTCCCGGGTGTGGAACTAACCTTTTACACACACAGGTCGCTGATGCTTTAGCCCAGGGGTGGCCAACCAGTCAGAGACAAAGAGCCAATTTTTTTACTGTATTACAGCAAAGAGCCACATCATACAAATTTGCACTACATAAACATCACTCCATCCCTTACACACGCACGCACGCACACGCACAAACACACACACACCTCTGCTCAGACAGAGTTATTGTAAATGTCATCAACATAATGACAGAAATGGACTCGTACAGCACTAAAGGGCTGGACTCGACTCTCCCCGGTTTGCGGGCACTTCCACCGCTCGCTTCAGCCGCTCCCTGGTACTTTTTATTAATGGTTTGGCTCTGGTTCTAACCGGGCGAGTCGATACCAGAACAATCTCACGTCAGCGAACATCAATTATGATTCCGAAATGAATGCTTTCGATCTCTAACCAAGGAAAAAAAATCCAGTTTCAACCCAGTGTTCAGCAGAAACACAACTGTCTTTATTGAACCATGATTCACTCTCTGCGTTTAGTAAAAGATATAGATTTGACACATAACACCAACACCACTTTAGCTGATTTAGAACCATAGACACATGTTAAGTATAAGATACTTTTGCATTTGATTGAAGACAGACACTCACCAGGCAGAAGCTTATCTCCTGGTGTAGCTGGTGTTAGCCGGTTTTAGCATGTTAGCTGGTGTTAGCCGATATCCGTAAATTTTCTTCTGCCTCTACTTCTGCTGCTGTGATCTTTCATTTCACGCTTGTCACTTTTAAGATTTTTAACTTTTCTCTGCATTGTGATGTTCGTGGGAATCATTCTGCTCCGTCCTTAGCACTAGCTCCACAAACACCTTCTGGTTTCTGGTGGAACCATCGAGCTCACGCTGGTGTCCTCTCCTCAAACTGAGGAAGGTGTTGCCCTCATCCAGCGACCAAGGAATTGTTTTCCGTCATTGACAACGTCATTTACACGAGCTCCACAGAATGTCAACCAAAAACTTTGATCATAAATTAAGTCTGCCGAGATTTTTGACCTTTCTGATGAGTATTAGCCTTTTTGGAAATAAAATCTTGTGTTTTTTAGAAGCAGAAAAGGTGATGAAGGTGAAGACTTTGGTGATAACATTTTCACAGAGAGAGGACCTAAAACAAAATCCATCTGCCTTTGTGCTAAATATAATGCATTCATCATATTTCCCAACATTTCCACTCTCTTAATCCAATTTCAGTAGCAACTGAGGCGGTTTCCGCACAGCTCAAAGTTCCAGGCCAAGTTAAAGATCTAAATAATGAGGCTTGTTTTGTGAGGTTTTTACAAATACATTGAATGAACAGATTATTTATGCTCTAATCCTGAGCAAGACTACACAAAGTTTCCAATCACACGGGCAAGTGCTGGGAAAAAAGCACAGGATAAGCCACATTTTGTGTTCTGTATTAATAATGTATGATTATTTACAGACCACACATTTAACATTACCATAATAGGATACAGTTAAAACTCAATTAGGTTTTTCATCTAGAACAAAAAAAAATCTTATTTGTTTTGTGATTCACTTTTGGAGTGTATGAATCGTGCTTTACAAATTACCTTGCATTTCCTTTTTACTGCCTCAGCTCCACATCCTCTTTATTATGTTGCATCAGTCCAAGTTATAAGAAGGAACCATGTGAGCCACTATATGCTTCACTGAGCTAAAGCTGGGCCAAATGGCAATAAAGTTTAAAATCTTGACTAAAATTAGCCTGGCCTTAGCCATCCGTACTCTCCGCTCAATTATCATTTCCTATGGTGTGGTACGACCAAGCTAGACTATAATGGACGATTACAATGTTTAAATCAAAGTCAAAGTCACTGACTTAATGAAAGAAGTTGAATGATCAAGTTTAGAATCCCATATTGTACTGACATATGACTGACATAGACTCAAATATAATCTATAGTGTAAGCACAGCTTTTGACAGCTGCAGCAGCGCTCAGGCTTGATCTCTCTGGTCTCTCTCGCTGCACCAGTCGTGAGTTCTGGTGGATAGAAAAGTGTATAAAGTGTGTGTGAGGGGTTTGCAGCCTTAAAACATGCATCAAGGATTTAGGCCGGTAGGGTGGCTGAGAGGAGAGCACTCTCACTTCACAGCAAGAAGGTTCTGGGTTCAAATCATGAGTGAAGTTTGCATGTTGTAGAATAAATGTGAAAAAAACATAAATGTCTAATCAATAAGGATTTTGCTGGTTGCGAGTTGCTCTTATAACGTAACCCCAGTGATGAAGCAGGGACCACTGTATTGACATTTTCTACATGATCTATTTTGAAAAAACAATTAATCCGGATGTTTTATTAATTGCGCAACAGTACTTTGAGCTGAGGTGATAACGTGATAAAACGTTTGTGCGACTAAATACCAATCATGAAGCCTTTGTGACAGCGAGTGGATTC